ACTGTCAGCATCTTAGACCAAGCTAAATCCAAAAACGAGGGAATTCCTGGAAGCTTGGTATTCAGACAAGGCAGCCATCAACAGGCAGATAGCGATAAGCAACTTCTACACACTATTCAAAAGAGACAATAAAAAGTAAAACAAAAGACCAGAACATCTCACCAGCAATCCCCACCCAGATAAGCAGAGACTAACACAAAGATTATCACCAGACATACAATCAAGCAGTAAACAATACCCTAATCAAGGAACTACCAGAGGAAAAAAATAAAAACCCCACCCCCACCAACACTGGCAGGGCATGCCACTGTATATAAACAGAGAGCAAACCCCAATCCATTCTAGCACTGAAGATGTTACCTAGGCAGGTAAAGAAACATTTGCAAGAAAACAACCAAGCTCAGAGAACTCCAAGGACTCCATAGTTCAAGCCTGAGCTACACATATTCTCTTCTATAGATGCATCATAAGTGTTGTGGGATGATTTTTATAGTGTCAAAGATTCTGATTAGTTGGCATATTTTTGTGTGTGTTTATGTGCACATACTGCTGAAGATACTCTGAATGGAGATGGAAGTTATGCATCTAAACTATATGTGGAATATCCTTATCAAATATTACTTTCCATAATTTACATCAGGGTGGGCAGTCCACAACTCCAAATGTGTGTATGTGTGGCTTTCAGATCTCTCTCTCTCTGCTGTTGTCAGAAACTTATTTCTATTATGAGATGGGAAATGTAGCATAAGCCCTCAAATAAACCTTGCACAGTTAAAAAGAAAAAGAAAAACCCTCACTCACCCCAAAAAGAAGGCCCAGCTCCCACTCACCCATATGAGATAGAACCCATCTACTTTGCATGAGTTATGTAGTTATATTTGAGTGTAGTCACCAAAACAGGTCCTTGCCCAGGCGACAATGTAAAATATTCTGTGTCTTTAGTGGCCTTCATGTTGATAACTATGGATTTTTTATATTCAATTCACTTTTTTGGTGGTTATTTTTAGTTGCAGCTCTTTTTGTGTGTACTGTGTTCATCATCAGACATATCTGTAAAGTTTTTCCTTACCCTTAGAGCACAAGCTTCTAATGTTCAACATATCAATGTGTTATTGGGGAATTAACAGTCTGAGACCTCAGTTATTAATTAGTGTTAATGTACTTTTAACTTCTTAGGATAAATGGCAGCCACTGATAAATACAGTCACAGGTGTTCACAAATACAAATGGCTTAAGCAAAACGTCCAAGGTTTATATCCCCAGTCTGCTTTACTGAACACCATAGTTGAATTTGCTTTAAAAGAAGAACCGGTTGATGTAGAAAAAATGAGGAAGTGCTTACTGAAGCAGGTAAACTATTTTCTTTATTGTGGCTGAGGCTTTATTGCATAAGAAACTTACCAAGAGGTGATGCTTTATCTCTGTTTTGCAGCTAGAGCGAGCTGAAGTTCGATTAGAGGGGATTGATACAATTCTAAAGTTGGCCGCCAAAAACTTCTTGCTGCCTTCTGTGCAATATGCTATGTTCTGTGGATGGCAAAGACTTATTCCAGAAGGAATTAATATAGGGTAATCCTTTCTTTAGCTCTTTCTTTCAGTTCAGATGACCATTTTGCAGTGTTGTGTGTGTGGAGCATAAGATCAAGACCAAAGATTTCAGAACTGAGCCAAATGCATGGGGAACTTGGGTAATATAGTGTAACAGTCTTGTGCTAAATGAAGAAAATAAAAATCATAATCTTACTGCAACATTTAAGTGTCATGGAATACCTAGCTTTCCTAGAACTAACATAAACTGCACCAGTAATTTGAAGGCTTTTAAAAAGAGATGTGCAGCTATGTTATGCTTGCTGTACTAGCACAGCAATAGCATATGCTCCATTTGTAATACCATGTGTTATGTGGTATATGTTTTCAAAATCCTGAAATCATTTTTTAAATTTTTTAACCGACAAAGAGAACCTTTAACAGACTGCTTAAAGGATGTTGATCTGATTCCGCCCTTCAACCGTATGCTCCTGGAAGTTACCTTTGGGAAGCTGTATTCATGGGCTGTTCAAAATGTTAGAAACATCTTGCTTGATGCTAATAGCAGATTTAAAGAATTAGGTGAGTACCTCCAGCTATTTACTCTGCGTTTTGGTTTATTAAAACTCATTGGAGTTTCTTGCATGAATTTGTATGATACTGCAAACTGTAGTTTAAATTTTAAAGTATAGTTGCCAATTATGTCTTGTAGGGTATCTGATAGTTTCCTTTTTAGTTGATGATATAACAGACATAGAGAAGGAGGGAGCCATGGGCCATACTGAATACATATCTATGCTGTCTTTCTTGGTTGCTTCTGAGTTATATAGACACTTCTATTAAAGAAAGAGAAATAGAAGAACTGACCTGATATTCTCTGAAGTCTTTCTGATCTGATTCCTTGTTTGAAAATTTGGCCAGTTTGTATGTTTGAATACTGTGAACTCATGGACCATAATATTATTTGTATCTGCATTGTCTATTCAGATAAAGTGTTATGATTTTGTGTGTGTGTGTGTGTGGAGTTTCTAATGTAATATTTGCAACCAGAAAAGCAACTTGAGGCAAAATAATAGTAAAAAACTTGCAGCAGAACTGTTGTATAGGTCATTTACATAAGCTAATAAATAATACTATTCATTATTTAATAAATAATAAACTTTAATAAATCATTAATTTAACTTTATTTAATAAATAACAAACTTTAATAAATCATTAATTTAACTTTATTTAATAAATAATAAACTTTAATAAATCATTAATTTAATTTAATTTAAT